CTCTGCCCCAAACCGGGGGCACTTCGCCGAGCGTGGCCTGTCCCTCCAGGGGGCAGGGGAGCGCCGTCCGGTTGCTCATTTCAGTGGAAACCGGGGCCGGCAGGGGAGGCACGCACCCTGCCGGCTCACTCTCGCGGGGGCGGGGCCTCTGGGTCCCAGCCCTGCGCTGGGCCCTGCGACTGGGACAGAGCGGGGCGAGGGGCTCCTGCTGCAGGTTCCGGCCGCCTCGACCGGCTGGCGGGACACTTCCATCAAAGGCAGGTGCCAGGGTGGGTCTGAAGGTCTCGTGAGGAAGCAACCAGCAGACACCGGGCACCACAGTGGTTTCAGAGCTCAGTCCGAGGCCGCCGGTTTGGGAGCTGAGCCGGGCAGGGCCATCGCAAAACAGCGCTGGACTAGACAAACGCCACCCGGGAGGCGGTGGCAGGAGGGCGCCACCCCAAGAGGGCTTCCTGGAGGAGGCAAACCTTGGAAGAGCCCTGGGCAGGTGGGGATCCCATCTCAGACACGTGCACCTCCTCCACACTCCCCCTAATTCTTACCTAGCACCTATGCCCGTGAGCCTCGCTGCCCCATTTTACAGATGGGGAAGTTCAGGCCGAAGGTCAAGTCCTTTGACCCTTGTAGCAGGAGTAAAAGGTAGAACAAGGCTTTGAACCCAGGTCTGTCTGACCCTGCATCCCAGGTTCCGTCACTCACTTCAGCAGGGAGTTGGGGGCGGGCCCCAGGCAGAGGCAGCGATGTGGGCGCATCCTGGCACCGACTAGGCACCTGAGGGTCAACACACCTGGGCTTCTCTCCTCGCCCCTTGCCCACCTCGCCTACCCGTGGCAGGGCGGGTCACGGGGGCTCAGGGGGACCCCAGCCTGGGCTGCGTCGCTGCCAACCCGGCCTCCATGCAGAGCCGAATGTCCCTTACAGAGGGAATTCCCTCCACACGGCTCTACAGCGACACTCAGCCACCAGGTCACAGAGGCCCTGGCGCTCCGAGTCCCTGCTCCGAACTGGACAAAAGATATCTCTGTCCCAGCAGCCCCTGTCCCCTGCCCTTAAGACAACAAGGGATGGGACAGCGTGTGCTGGTGGGGAGGGTGTCTGGCCCTGGGGAGGGACAGGGGAGGGGCAGCGTGGCTTCTCAAGGTCAATGGGGACACATCAGAGGCAGAGGCCCACACTCAGGCCTGTGGCCTTTGCCTGAGGACGGGTCAGTCATCAAAGGGGCCGAGAGTCTGGGGCGTGGCGGTGGGGCCGGCCGGAGCTCCCAGCCCCTGCGGATGGACCTCAGTGCCCACGAGCCCACCAGCTGCTGCTTTGGGAAGCGTCAGCTGACGAGGATCACTCAGTACTTGTCACTATCCCACTGAGCCAAGGGCCACTCCCCAGCAGGACACAGCTTACTCCCTGGCTGGGGCCCACCTTGTACGGTTTCCCCTCTCCCTGCCCTGGGGAGGGCCCCTGTCCCCTGCCGCAGGCGTCTGTACGTGCCCCACCCCCACTCCGCCCGGCAGACCCGGCGGGGCCAGCGCGACCCACAGCACTGTGCTCCCGGCTCTGCCAGAGACAGCCGGGGGTCCAGGCCTGCGCTTCTGGACCAGACAGCGGCCTCTGGGGCACCCAGGGGCAGGTGGGGGCGGCGGCGTGGGGCTGGACTCTGAGAGTCCAGTTCCCACTCCCTCTTAGGGACCTCGGCTAACAACACCGCTTGCTTTCCCCGCCTGTACAATGGTGATGAAACCAGCCGCCTTGTGGGACTACCGTGAGTTCCACGTAAAGTGACGAGACTTCACTACCCGGACCCACGGGCTTTCGCCCTGGTTGCTAGGGTGGCAGACGCACGCATGGCCACGGCTGGCCCCGCCGAGGTCCGGCCTCGGGCCAGGGAGCGGCTCTGGGCTGGTCGACAGTGAATCCTCCCTCTTTCAGTCTGTGTCCCTGGCCCCTGGCCGGAGGGCACGCTTCCAGGAGACCAGAGGTCACCGGCCTGGCTGGTGACACCCTGGGGGCACACACTCATTTCATCAGGAGGCTCTGCAGGTCAGCAAAGAGCAAAGAAGTGACCCAGGGAGGCCTTCGACCCTTCCTGGAACAGGCTCACCCACGCGGCGGGACAAACAGACAGGCTTCAGCCTGGACTCCAGACCCGGAAAGACACGTCTCCCTGGCAGGGGCCAGGGTCAGCTCTCTCCCGGACACAGATGGCTCGCACCAGCTGCCTCCACCCTGCCCAGCTGCCTGGTCTCAAGGGGCAGACCCCTCCCGTTTCCGGGAGCCTCTTCCAAGCTACCCCCTTCCCCCCTCTGAATGTCCCAGCTTCCTGACTCGGGGGCGGGGTGGGGGGCTGCGGGAGAGAGCGAGGCTGCTCTGGTGGGACTGGGCAGGTCACTGTGTCAGGCGTGGCTCAGCAGGGCAGGGGACTCTGCAGAGCCTCCTCCTCTCCCAGGCTCTGCGTCTTCAAGACGACAAACAGTGAGCAGGACCCGAAGCCGCATTAGCACCCACCACCGGGAAGGCACGGACCAAGGTCCACGTGCCCCGAGCACTCCCAGCATCCACGGAGGCGCCAAAGGGGAGCTCGGGTGCTGCACACGCACATTTGCCGGGGCACTCGTTGGTGCCCTGGGCTGTAGGGGGTGCTCTGCTCAGCCCCTGCCCAGGAGGCTGTTTCTGTCCCATTCAGGCGCTGTGGAAGGTGAGGAGGGAGGGACTTCCAGAAGCTGGGGGCAGGGCAGGAGTGTCCTCTGGGCCCATTCCTCCAGTGTGGGCTGTGTCACAAGGTCTTCAAGGCAGACAGGGACCCACAGTCCCCCAGGGCAGCAGGGTGGGGCCATTTGTGTCCAGGATTCTCCTCTGAGAAAACGCTTGCCCTTCCTTCCACTTTCTCCCTGGGCGGAGGCGGGGGAGGGGATTGGCCGAGAGCATTATTCAACAGGACAAATTTCAACACAGGTAGGAACAGTGAGGTTTCTGTCCCTAAAACCTCGGGAGCCCGGAAAACCCAGGAACATCCCTAGTCTGTGTCCAGTGGGGGCAGCCGCTGCCCTGCCGACCCCTGTGCAGGCTGCGTGGTCCGCAGTCCGAACAGTTTGCACCGGGTCTTCCCGACAGCCTGGGGGGACTGGGTTTATGACAATCCCGGCACATCTGGGGACAGACACCAACGCCCCTGCGTGTGGACTCTGGGTGCTTGGCAGCCCGGGACCTGCAGTGTGTCAGGTGAGGTCTTGGAGCCTGGACGTCGCCGTCCACTCCCTTCGCCGCTGTATTCCTGCCCTCCAGCTCCGCAGGCCCCTGGATGCTTAAGTCAAGAGCACGGGCGCCTGCCCAGCCTGTGTGACATCCAGGATATAATGTGCACCGATCGCCTCGTAAACTCGGGAACATAATATGAAACCTTGGCAAGTGCCATAAAAGTTGGGCTTGTCAGTGTGGGCGTGGGTAGGTTACGTGGATGCCTGCAGGTTGGGGCAAAGTTCACCACGGGCATGGGGCTAATCAACGCGGGTGAGTTTCAGGGGCCTGTGGAAGAGCCGGGAGAGCCAGTGCTCCAGGGTCTGCAGGGTGTCTGCCTAACGCAGGGTGTGTTGGGGGGGGGTCTCCTGCCCTGGGCAGGAGCTCCCAGGCGCTGGCATCCACAAATAGAACAGTGGGGGGTGGTGGGGGGTGGGGGAAGGAGGGTCGGCGTAGTACACATTCGGTTCCCAAAGGTGGGGAGTCCTGATGCGCTGGCACGGGGGGTTCGTGCGTTCCTCTCAGGAGCTCCGCGTCGCTGCGGGGACAAAACTTCTTTCCAGCACCCCTGCCCGCTTCTCACAAGTGGGAGTCCGGCCTCGACCTCCGCGTGGGCTGGCAGAGGCCCAGCGCCTTGGCGGGGGCGGGGGAGTCAGCCTCTCTCCCCGACGCACCGGGGGAGAGGGCACGGCTCCACGGCAGCCCTGGCCGGGCGGGGGGCGGGTGGCCCACAGTTGGCAGCGCGTCCCCGTGCGCGTCCCGGTTGCCCTTCGCCCATCTCTGCACCCGGCCTGCCGCGCCGGCATCTCCGCCACCTGTTGACGCGTCCTCCCAGCTCGCGTTCCCTTTCTCCTACTGTTGCATCCCGGGGTTGCGGGGACAAGGTCTTTCCCCGCCCGCCCCGCACCCCGCGAACCCCCGAAACTAGAGGGCGCAGAGCCTCTGCCAGTGTCTAGGCCAGCTCATTGTACAGACCGGCAAGAGTCGGGTTGCCGGGGTGGGGGAGGGGGGCCTTGCTAGCGCAGCCTGGGCGCGGGCGGGAACCCCCACCCGTCCCCAGTCCGGGGCCCACCAGCGCCTGGACTTGAGCCCTTTCCGGTGCGCGGGGCCGGACGCGCGCCGAGGCTCAGCTGCACACGGTGTCCCATCGCCGCGCCGTACACGCCGGCCCCGTGACCTTAGCAGGCCTCCTCCTCTTGCCTCAGTTTCCCCACCCTTGCAGCCACCAGGGGCACGAGGAGGGAGCCTCAAACGGCGGCCCCGCCCCGCCTCCTGGGCAGCCAATCGGGCGCCGCCATCCGGGGGGTGTGTCCCGCCTTGGGCCGCGGCTGGGGGGCCCGGGGGCGGGTCGGGAGGTCCGGGGCGGGGTCGGGGTCGGAGGGGGGCCTCTGGGCGGAGCTTCTGGGCCGACCGCCCGCGCTGCCCCGCGGGGCTGGGAGGCCGAGGGGCGGCGCGTGCCGCCGGGGTGAGGCTGGCACAGGAGCGGGAGGCGGCGCCCGGCATGGGCTGGGGACGCGGCGGCCCCACGGCTGGGGCGGCGGGCGGCGGGGGCGGAGGCGGCCGCTAGCTCCGGGTCCGGTGCCGCCTCCCTCGGCGCGCTCGCCCGGCGGACCGACAGACGACGGACCAGCCAAGGTGCTCGGGGACGAACGGGTGCGCGCGGGGTTCTGCGGGCCTGGCGGCCCCCCCGCCGGCCTCGGGACCCACAGCGGACGGGGGAGGGGCCGAGCCCGGCGGCGCATGCGCGGGGCCCGGGGGCGCGGGCCGAGGGCGCTCGCGGCGGGTTCATGCTGGGGAGCCCTGGGCCCAGGGGGCCGCCCCCTGCTCCGCCTCCTTCCCGGAGCCCGGGCGTCCGCGGCTGTCTCTGGGGCTGGGGGCTGTGCCGAGGTCGAGTCCCGGACCTCACAGACACTGGTCCTCTGGTTGCTTCCCGGGAGGAAAGGCCCACCAGGCGGGGCGGCCAGCGTGCCCTCCCCTCGCAGCGGCAGAGTTTGGGCGTCACCGACAGGAGGGGGCGTTTCCCGAAATCCCCGGGGGTCCCCTGAACTAGGTAGCCCGAGGCCCCGAGTGTCGGACCGTCAGGGTCGCGTACCGGGCGGCTGCGGTCCGAAAGGAAAAGCTCCCCGGCGGGTTAGTTGACAACCAGTGGGCTCCTTTGAGGAACTGCCCGACTTTGCTCCCGAGCGCAGGCGGACGACCGAGCCTGGCCGGGCGAGCCCAGGGCAGGCTCCGCCGCGTGACTCCCTCCCGGGCCCCCGTGGCGCCCGCGCCCAGCTCCCCGGGCCCTGGCTGCGCAGCCCTGGTGGGGGCGCAGGGTGGTGGGGGCGCAGGGTGGTGGCTTGGAGAAAGCCGGGAGGGTGGGTTCTGCCTCACGCCCACCCACGCTAACAAGAGACAACTGCACGCCCGGGCTTTCTCGTCTTTTTGAGTTTAAGGGAGGGCCGGCGTGCACCAAATGTCAAGGTTCTTTCTGAGAAAAGTCCGTGGTTGTATAATAGCTGTGGGTTGCGCGGGGCGCTCTGGGACCTCCGGAGCTGCACGTCTACCCCAGCTCCAGCCCCCTCCCCAAACCAGAGGGTCCCCTAGATCCCAGGGCTGCTTGGGAAGGGGTGGCGGGGAACGGGTATGGGGAGGGGCCCAGAGTTCCTGGGAGCGACCCTGCTACACTGCTGCCTTTGAAGAAGCAGGGTCACGGTGACTTTCCTCGTCCAAGGTGGTGGAGCGCTGGGGAGAATCCAGAGGACATATCGTAACTATTTCCTCCTTTACCTTCTCACTGCCAAGGCCAGTTAAAGGCCCTGCCTTCTGTGTGAAGCGACAGTCTGTGGCAAGACAAGCGCAGCACCAAGACGCTGTCATTCCAGGTAAATAGAAGGTTTGATTGACTAACGTTTCCAGGCCTGAATGTTTATGTGTTCACTTCCGTTGCCCTACAGACTGGCCATTGGGGGGTTAATGATTACTCCGTGGTGCAGCGTGGGGTGTATTTTCAGTGTTTTGAAAGTAAGGCTAACGTGGGGGGGGGTGTGGATGCCGTTTTACGTTCTGAAAACTTTCTCGTGGCAGTTTGCCTGGGGACTTCAGGGCTTGGTGGCGGGCTGGCTCCGGGTCATTCAGAAGGAGGCAGGTTGGCTGTGAGGAACGTTATTCCCTAGCGGACACCGCCGTCTCTGACGCAGGCAAGGACCGGACCGTTTGGACCGCACTTTGAATATGAGGCAGGTGGCTCGCTGAGATAGCCGGCCAGGTTGAGGACTGCCCTCGGCCAGGACAAGGGCCGGTCCAGAGAAGGAGCCGGATGCTACCAATGGCCTGGTCCGTGTCCCCGAGGGGCCAGACGGTGAGCTTGGCACCTCCCACGGCTTTGAAGCAGACGCAAATTCATGGACAGGAGAAGGGAAGGCTTCTCTCTCTTTTCTATGTTAGACAGATAATGAGTTATTCCATAAACATAAATCGTTTTTTATTTTTAACCAACCGCCGGTCGTCAAACTCGTAAACGGATTTTTCGCCGTCGCGTGCGTGCATGAGAGAGGACGGAAAGGAAAAACGTGTCCCCCTGTGTAAACTGTTTTGTCATCTGCATTAACTGTTACGTCACGAAAAATATTTCTGTGGGAATCCGTGTGCGTTTCACCCGTTAAAATGTCTGTGTGATATTCCACGGTGCTTAGATCCAGCACGTAGTCAGCCAACCCGGAGGTGTGGGTATGTAAAAACGTATGTTTTCAGGTGTATTCATTCTGTAAATATTTGTGGAGCGGCTGCCACCGAGCACGGCAGCCGTGGATGTGCTCAGGAAGCCCATTTTTATACCAGAGCCCAAAGCAGAAAGGGCCGGCCTGTCTCCGTCATCCGAGGGCTGGAGCTGGGCTGCGGGAGGGAGACTGTTGTGCCCTGATATTTTGTGAGCCTCTGTGTTTTTATAATTAGTTTTCTTTAAGCAATCTTTTTAAACATTTGAATTAAAATAGTTCTTCGCTTCATGTGAATGGAGTTGACGCACTCCAGATTCTCCTCCCTCCCCCTCCCTCGCAGCCTCTGCGCCGGCGGTTCTGTTCTGAACAGCCGATGGGCCGGGGGGCCTTCCCTTCCGAGTGGTCGTGGGTTGCGCACTGACGCTGCTGGTTGGTAGCAGCGCCGTGAGAAGGCGTGGCCTGTAGAATAATTCCCGCTAATTTGGAAGTTTTCAGTTTTGCTTTTTGGGGGCGTGGTAGGGAGTCCGTCCTGAGCGTTTCGTCGCCGTGTCGAACACAGGCACAGTGTCTGTCTGCAGGATAGACGTTCTCTGTATCTGCTGTTTCTGCCTTGTGGGTCACCGAGAACCAGCCAGCTGTCGTCCAGGGCCAGGGGGTCCGGGGAGTTAGGCAAAGAATTTTAATTTGCAGCCTGGCGTCAGGTAGTTGGAAGGTGGGAACCGAACAGGAAGGGCCCTGATGTCCCGCTAGGCGGCGTCGGAAGCGCTCCGCCCTCCTCCCTGGTGTTTCTGCTGCGCGCAGGCAGCGAGGTGCGTGTGGGGCGGCCGCCCTCGCGCCTGCGGACTTACCGGGCTGTTCTGTGAGTCACAGACACCGCGTATCTGATTTGCTCACGACCTGGAGGTGCGTTCGGTTTTTGTTTCCCGGGTGTTCAATGACAGCGTCGGGCGGCAGTGATTTCGAGGTGACTGGAGGAGTTTCTCAGCTTTGGAAAGGGAGGAGTCGCCCCCTCCCTGACCCGTCCCCCTGCCCCCCTGCCCCCCCCCGCCCCTCGCCCCTCGCCCCTGCTGAGTCAGGCCTGCGTAGTTGTTTCTGCAGCTGAGCTGCATTTGTTTGGAGGACAGCTCATGGTACACGCAAAAGGGTCTGAAAACTGTGGTTTGCATCAAGGGAGCGGTTGGCAAGCGGATGCCAGGATTCCCGGCGTCCCCTGGGTGCTGCCCGCCAGGCCGGGGGTCCTGGGCCCCCGCTCCAAACTGGCATTGTCTCTCCAGAAAGAGGATTTCCCCTTCACTCCCTCTCTCAGGAGGGCTGGGGGGCTCAACAGGTGTGTCTCGGGTCAAGATTCTCGGAGAATGTGAAAACCCGTGGGCAGCCCAGGGGGCGGCGTCTTAGAAAGAAGCCTCGTGCCGCCTGCCCGCCCCTCCCTTGGCCGCGTCTGACACCTGCGGTATTTTCGGTCTGACCGCTTTCTGATTTTTCAGTGGCTTCCCGGAAGAAAAACACCTCCCACCAGACGGACAGGTTTCTTCCATGTTCTTTTTTTTTTTTAAATAAAGATTTTATTTATTTATTTTTAGAGAGGGAAGGGAGGGAGAAAGAGAGAGAGAGAGAAACATCCATGTGCAGTTGCTGGGGGCCGTGGCCTGCAACCCAGGCATGTGCCCTGACTGGGAATCGAACCTGTGACGCTTTGGTTCGCAGCCCACGCTCAATCCACTGAACTGTGCCAGCCAGTGCCCTTTCCATTTTCGAATAGGTAGACAGCGGTCCTACACCAGTCAGAACCAAACCGCCGTGAGTGGTTGGGGTCTCTCTGACCGCGGAGAAGCCCTGGGTCTTGGCGGCCACCTGTCTGGCGCTGGCACTCACTCTGGTGTCTCTGGTCTAGCCGGTCACGCCCAGCACGGCCCCTCGTCCCAGGAGGGCCTGCAGAAACAGGCCCGGCGGAGACCTCCCCGGCTTGGGCACGATGTCCCCCCGCCGGTCCTAGATGCTCTCTGCACCACGGTGCCCCGTCGGTCGAACAGTCCCCGCCGCGTAGAGCCTGCTCAGCACAGAGCAGTCTGGCTCACTGTTGCCCTGCTGGTCCCGCGCGCGGAGTAGGTGCTTCTAAGCGTTCTCGGGACAGATACGCAGGGAACAGAATTGAGTCTGAAAAGTATCTATTGATGGGCCTCTGTTTTCTACACTTCTCAGATGTGGGTGGCAGCGGGCAGGAGTGGGGGCCCACCTACGGCGGGAGGACGCCCCCTCGGCCTCTCAGCTCCCGGGGTCCCTCAGAGGGCGAGAGCCCATCCGTCCATGAGGACGGGGTGCCCTGCCTCTGTGCTGGACGTCTGTGGGTGGTCCCAGCCCGCCGATGTCACAACGAAATGATTCTGTGCACAATTACCATTGGGTCCGGGGAGTAGTGCGCATTTAATAGGTTTTTCATGAGATGGCCTGCGAATCTAAGAAAATGCTCTTTCTGTCAGATGATGGGTTTCAGTTTCCAACTACCGGCCCAGGAGGAAAGGGCACGCTTCAGCTGCTGTGAGTTGGAAGTGCCTGTATCGAACAGGGCAAGGGTCCCGCTGGCCGGCCTTCCAGCAGCGGAGATAAGACCGGCCCGGGGGAGGGGCGGCGCGCGGATCGATGTCTCTGGGCGCCGGCCCCTCGTCTGCCTGCGCTCACCTCGCCCGGTTTCCAGAGACTCCCACACAGCGGGGGACGCTGGTCTCCACGCCAGGCCACATGCTTCCCACCCTGAACCTGGGCGCCGCTGGCGAGGCGTCCCTGTGAACTGGGGGAGTCGGGGGAGCAGAGGCAGGGCACGAAGCTTCCTCGGAGTGGTTTGGAGTTGTAGCGAAGGGAGCGGCCCAGGGGGGCTCCCCTTTTCCCCATTGTCAAGTGTGAGTGAGGCCCCGGCTTTTCCTCGCGGCCATTCCCCACCAGAACGGGCCTGTGGTCGTGTGATAACCGCGCCGACGTGGCGAGTTGCCAGGCACCAGCGAGAGACCCAGTTACTCAGAGATTGACATGTGGGCACATCCCTCTCCGAAACATTCTGATGCACTAGCTGTCGGTCTTACACACGTGAGTGTGTAAGTGCATAGTTACAGTGAGGCCTCATGGCTTGTCAGGTACAGGATTGTGGGGACCAGGGACAATCCAGTCTCGATGACCTGGAAGTGAGTTTTTTTCTGTAACCCATACATTAAATGTTTTTTTTTAAAGGATCAGTTTATTTTTTTTAAGATTATTTATTTATTTATTTATTTATTTTTAGAGAGGGAAGGGAGGGAGAAAGAGAGAGAGAGAAACATCCATGTGCGGTTGCTGGGGGCCATTGCCTGCAACCCAGGCATGTGCCCTGACTGGGAATCGAACCTGCGATGCTTTGGTTCGCAGCCCAAGTTCAACCCACTGAGCTACGCCAGCCAGGGCTGAGACCCTTTTTTAAAGTTTAATTGTGCGACGGTGTCAACAGCTGGAGGGGGCGAGAGCCGAGGAGGAGGCTGGGAAAATGAGAGGCCCGAAGAAGGCGAAGAAGTCCTCACTCGGGGCGGGGACGCCTCCGCGGCTGCGCTTCCTGGAGGGGGAAGTCCGCGCACAGACGGGCGGAGAGGGCCCGCGGACAGGTGACGTCACGAGAACGTGGAGGCGGGCGCATGGGCGCCCCGGGCGCTTGTCCATTTCAGAGGAGGAAGGTTCTGGAACTGGGGAGATGGTAGGGCCGCGGTGCCTGCGCTGGCCAGTACGTGCGCGGGCGGGAGTCAGAGAGAGACAGAGTCGCGGCGGTGGTGGCCGGCCGTGCCCGGCGGAGCAGCCATCCCGCTCCGGGGCGCATGCAGCCAGGTGCCTGCGGTGGGGACGGGGACGGGAAGACAGCCACGTGAGCGCTGTGATTCCCTCCCAGTTCCGGGCCCTGGGCGTACATACAGACCGAGAGGAGCAAACCAGGGTATTTTTTTCCACTCTGGAAACGGAAAATTATTGACATTTTTTCCCCCTGCTCCAATCCTTTCCTTAGATGCCTCTCACAAAGTTAGCTTTCAGCGTCTAGGTCAGAAGTCTAAGTGAAAGTGAATATTTAACCACATTCAAGGTCGGCCGGTAATCTTCAGCCCGAACAGAGGCACCGGACTTCCGAGAAAGAAGACTCCGGCGGGGAAAAAAGCCGA